TTCCAACCCAAACCATTCCATGATTCTATGACCTTTGGGCAAAGGGGGTTGAGGTAGAGAGGGGCAAGACCATCCACAATTTGTTGGTACGTGGTTTTGTGCATTAAATGGAGAGAGCTGCTGTGAATATATGTTTTAAGAATATTTGTTAGGTGGTGTTGCGTGTGTGTGCACACACAGAAACAGCTTTATGAGAAGTAAGAAGGGACATTTCTTCAGTGCTGATGTAATTGGTGGTTGATCACCAATTATGTTTTTATCAGCTGTGTATTTTTAATTGGCTAATATTGAACAGGAAGTGCTAGAAGCACTTACATAAATGTTTGTTTGTTTAAAGTTTGAGTCAGAATCCAGACAGGTATTTTGATAAGCTGTTTGATATATTGAATATCTACTGTTTTTGTTTTATTGTTGTTTCCTTTATTATGAGTGATACTGCTACATCCTTGATGTTTACTGTGAATAATTATGACTGTTTTGTTACAGAATGTGCCCACTTGCTTTTAGCCCATAATGCTCCAGTAAAGGTGAAAAATGCTCAGGGATGGAGCCCTCTTGCAGAAGCCATCAGCTATGGAGACAGACAAATGAGTAAGAACCTCTGCTTCCCAATTCATCAGGAACTGAGACCTCGCTCAGAACAGGAAAACAAAGGGTTTTGAGCTAGAATTTTTTATAATACTCCTATTTTGGCTCTCTAAAGGGTTTATCTTAATCAGCTCAATTTTTTAATATATAAATACAGTATGACAAGCTCTACACGTCCATTTAGGTGATAAGAAAGAAATTACACCAGGATACATAATGCCAAGTAGAGTTAAGATTTTGCTTGAAGTGACTGTAAAAGCTATAAAGTAGCATTCTGCATTTAAAATTGGAGTTACAAGGTCAGGATGGATTTTAGCTGTATGGGATCATCTGATTAGAACTGCTCCATGTGGTCATATGTGTGTGTATATATATATATATATGTCTGTCAATTGGCAAGGGGATACTGCTTTTATGTTGCATCTCGACAGGCAAATATAGTGATTATTTATTCATCTCAGATATGAATTAATAAAGGGAAAATTATTCTACCACTCCTCACAAGTGGATGTTAATAGTATTTGGTATTACCACATCCCATAGCAGAAAACTCACTATATATTATATATATAAAAATATATTATTAATATACTAATGCACTAGTTTGTAATAAATTAATGACATTGTGCATGTCAGCTCCTCACTAAGAAAGAATGTTCTCAGTGGGAGGAGGTGTTAGGCAATCTATAGGCTGGGGTTCAATAATATACACGTGTACCCACGTGCTTACTAATTCCTGTGTAAGAGCTCTTGACGTGATTGTATAATTTATATTGTAAGCAATTATTGGGGCTTTTCTTCCTGTTGTGATCAGAGTAGGTTATGTATAATTACTATAACTTGAAGTAATTTTTTCCAAAGTCTGATTAAATGTTACATTTGTGTTGTTTTTTTTTCTTTTTTTAAGATGTCAAATAATGACACTAACCTGGAATAAACAAACAAACAGAGTAGATTGACCCTCTGTTTAATTTCTGTTCAGTTACAGCACTCCTAAGGAAGCTGAAACAGCAGTCCAGGGAAAGTGTTGAAGAAAAGCGACCTCGATTATTAAAAGCCCTGAAAGAGGTAAGTTCCAGGTAGTTGCGTTGACAAAAACAGGTTGTGATGGAAAGCAGTGGCCTATGTTCTTAATACGGGTGCTCTGGCAAACTAAAAAAGTTTTTTCCTTACTTTTACAAATCTGTTTTGCTCTTAATAGCAATCTTGGCTTATGGTGTCTCTTTTAAGGGGTCAGAGAATTATGTGTATTTTTAAGATAATACTTCTTTCTCAACTTGTAGAAATTCAAAAAGAAAGATTTATGTAGGACAGACCTGCTAGTCATCTTTGCAATCTAAAAGTTAAAGAATGTATTTTTAATCTGTATTTATTTCATTAGATTTTTTTTAAGGCTTTTTAAAATCTTTTGTTTTGGTGAATAACCTACTGGTTTTGTTTAGTCATTGATCATGAATGACACTTTCTTTTCTTGCTTAGTAATGAAAGAGATTGTTGGTTTAATTCTCCATCTATATGCAGCACCCAGTTCTTCTTGAGCACTGTGAAACATCCCTCAGTTTAGGGAAACCCAAAGAAGATGGAAGCAAAGCTCAAGTTTCTTCTTTAAGATGAAAAGTTCATAGAATCATAGAATCATGGACTGGTTTGGGTTGGAAGGGACCTTAAAGCTCATCCAGTCCCACCCCCCCTGCCAGCAGCAGGGACACCTTCCACTAGACCAGGTTGCTCAAAGCCTCATCCAACCTGGCCTTGAACACTTACAGGGAGGAGCAGCCACAGCTTCTCTGGACAACCTGGGACACTGTCTGACCACCCTCACAGTGAAGAACTTCTTCCTAATATCTCATCTAAACCTCCCCTCTTTCAGCTTAAACCCATTTCCCCTTGTTTTGTCATTAATTACCCTTATGAAAAGTCCTTCCCCAGCTTTCTTGTAGACCCCCTTCAGGTACTGGGAGGTGCTATAAGATCTCCCTGGAGCCTTCTCTAAGAGTTTCCTTCCTTCTCTTCTTCAGTTTCCACCATTTCAAACCACTGCTGGTGCCATAAAGCTGTGGTTATAAAACCTGGGTGTTTATTTCCCTTTAGGTGGGGTGAGCTTCTGCCTAGTCAGGTGGGAAAATATGAATGGGTTCATAGAAAACCAGCTTTTGTCTTGAGTTTATTAAACCAAATAGCTGGAATGTCGAGCTCAGCTGTGTCAGTGACACACTGTGAATACACTCTACTCGTGTTCCTACGTTTTTAATTGATCCAAGAAAAAAATCCAAACCCTGCTAACTTGTCTAGAAGTGAAAAGCTTTCAGTTTTTGTGTGAGAGCAAACAGAAAGCAGGCACAGCCTTACTAAACAAGCTCTGCTGTTCCTTGTTGCTGCTGCTGCAAGACCTGGCCTGGAGTTGTGTGTTTTTCTTCTTGCTGGAAGTGGAAATATGTGGTTATCTCAGTGTATTACCCACACTTGCTGATTTTAATCAAGTCACCCCTTACTTTACTTTGCATACAGTTTAAAGGAGTTGGCTGGCATGTGTTTATGGAGGTAGAGGAATTTTTATATGATGACTTAAGCATATTTCCAGAAGGCAAATTGAAATTTGTACATGTGAATGCTTCTGGCTGAAACTTGACTCATTAATTTAAGCCAGACAATTCCATGGAGTTGGATGTGATCAATCAAAGCAAGCAAAGAGCTCCATAGATCTTTTTTAAACACATGTTTACAATAAATCTTTTGCAATACACAGCTTAGTAGCTGTATAAATTATTATTTTTTAAAAAAATCATTAAAAATGGGTGATTCAAATGAGTTATATAATTTTCTCATTATTAATTCAACCCTAGTTAAAGCTTTGGAAATATTTCAGTTCAGTATAAATTCAAATACTAACATTAGAGAAAAGTTTTCTTTGTCAAAACACGACTGCCTGTCTTTCAGCAGAGTTTGCAGTTGTCATTTAGACTAAAAAGCTTGTTAATATATTCTTCTTTTCATCTCAGCTAGGTGACTTCTATCTAGAGCTTCACTGGGATTTTCAAAGTTGGGGTAAGCAATTGCGTATTCCTTTTCTAGGGAGATAATGTAATCAGTATTCAGCACACTCATTCTCTCAAGTTTAAATTGTCTTCTAGTTTGCACGTTGGAAAGTTCACAATCTAGCCCTCAAGATCTAAGTTACAAAGAAGAGACAGCTTTTTTGCTGAATTCTTTTTGCTTACTCATTTTTGGAGTTGAATTCTTTTCTGTAATCCAGTGACACAATATTGGGGTGAAGAAGCTGATGTTTCCTTTAAGAAATTGATTGTTAGAAGAGTGAAATGTTAAAATGTCTCTGTTTGGTTGATTGATGTCACTGTAGAGGAGTTGTTTGAGCAGTTTAGTTGAGTAACAGGACTCGAGGCGTTTAATTTCCTGAATTTCACCTGTGCTCTGAATGGTGACTGTCAGTTAAGTGCAACTATGTGGTAGGTTCTTCAAACCCCTGCTTCACCCTCATGTTTCTTTTATGTGACTATAAGGTTGTCTCAATTTCCACCTCCTCTCATCTGTAGATGAAAAAAATAAATAAATTAACAAAAATGTATTAACAATGATCAAGGTGTCTGAATAATGTCAGAATACTGGAAGTGATGCCTTCTGTTCCTGGCTGCAATTTTTTTATATACTTTCGTATAGTTGTAAGTATTTGCTGCACTATATGGCACTTCCAGTATTCAGAGGAGGAATGAGCAGCCAGGCTGCCATCAACCACTGAGCAGATGTGGAACAAACACCTCACTTTTCTAGCTGGCTTACTGTGTGCTGCACATTTAATGAGCAGACTTTTTAGTGGAAGAGTCAGCACAAAAAAGAGAGCAGAGCTGGGCGTGGAGTGAGAGGAGAGAGACATTGCTTATTGATGAGGCTGCAACCTGACTTGCAGAACATGATGGTGGCGGTCAGGCATGGCACAGAAAAAGTGATGCCAGAGGTAAAGCCAGCTTCTAAAGGTCCTCTTCTCCAGGAGTCTCACTGTGCCTCTTCTTGTTTATTTTTTTAATATATATTTTCTTAAAGAGAAAAAGATGCTCTAGGCAGTGCCTCTGTCCTAATTACTGCTCCTCTAGGCTAATTACATTTTACAGGTGGTCTGAATTCTTTGCAGTTCATTTTGAAGAAAGTTGAAATGTCATTATCTTGAATTTGTGTTATTACTGTAAAGTAAATGATCCTTTTTAGAACAAGGACAGCTGCAGTCTCCTATATCTGTCCTGTAATACTGTTCTGACTCTCGGTTCCACCGGTGGGGTTTCATGTTTGCTTTATGTTTTAAACTTAGTGCATTGGATTATTATTTTTTTTTCTGCTCGTGGGTGTTCTGCTTTAGTTGTAGCAAAGCTTTCAGTTGATATAATATATAAATAAGCTATCAAATCATAGAATTAAAATTTCAGACAGCTAGAAGGTCAGCTATTAGAATTTATAAATTATTTAGCTGTGGCTGAGGATATTTTAAATTGTGTCCTGATGCTGCAAGCAGTCTGTACAATTCTAAATCAGTTTTGCAGTTATTGCATAGAAATAACCCAGGTATTGGTCAGGTGTATTTATACTGAGATGATGGTGGAGCATGAGTGTGCTGTACATGTATCAAAATACATCAAGATTCAAGCTGATGTATAGTTTTAATGGGAATACTTTGCAGAGGAACCTTAATGTCCTAATTGCTTCTCTCTCTCTACCTTCAGTGCCTTTACTTTCCCGAATTCTGCCTTCTGATGCATGTAAAATACACAAACAAGGTATAAATATCAGGTGAGTGCTGATTTCACAGTGTGTGTTGTCTAAGTCATAAATACCTGTGTGTTGGTGAAGACACTGGATTCCAGTCAGGTCTGAAAGAAATGGCTGAGGAGTCTGCAGACGTTTGTGAAACAGCACTGGTGGTTTGAACTTCAGACTATATTGTTTTCTCTGTTGATCTGAATTTAACTTCAGTTCCTGAGTCGCTTAAAATAGAAAGAAAAAGCAATTAAGCTGTATAAGGCTTTATCTACCAGACCTGGCAGTGATTAATTGAAAATAGGAATTTGGTGTTTTTAACACAGCTTCAAATAAATGAGCTTTCAGTATTTTGTGGAGAAATGTTGCTGCTCCAGTCTGTGTAGTAAAAAAAGTGGTCTAGTTTCTCTTTTTAAAAGCTTAATGTGACGAACTCAATACAGTGCTTCCAGGAGACTTTTAAACAGCTTTTAAACAGTTAAAAGCTCAGCTCTTTTAACTGGTTTACTTTGGGGTTTTGGATTCAAATGCCTTTTCTATCTTTTTCTTTAGGTTCCAAAGTTTAAAACAAACAAAAAGTCAAGAATATAATTCAGAAGATTCAGTCTCTAGAAAAGTCTGTTCTATTAAAGCTGTTAGCATAGGTGTGTGAACTGACTTTTTAGGTCAAATTTGAGTCCGAGGCCATTTATTTCCTTCTCATTTCTGTGTGCTCAGCCTGTACAAGGCTGGGAGTTACGAGATGGGCCCTGAGTAGAAATAGCTACAGATTCTTCCTTGAAATCAGAGGCCAATATATGATGAGGATTAAGCAGTCACCACTTAGAGCTGAAGTGCTCCCTAAATTCGGGTTCTTTAACCAGGTGTGCTAAAGAAGGAAATATTTCTGGCAATAACAGATATGAATTGCTGGAGAGATCTTTGTCCTTGGCTCCATCTTCTAGTTATTGAGGTCAGCAGAAGCATTTCTTTTGTGTTGGTGACAGGCCAAAAATAGAAACAGCAACTAAAATAAGTCAAACTTTAAAAATCAGTCTCTTTCTTAGTCCTCTTCATAATTTGGGTCACATCCTAATAGTGTTACTGAAAATCAGTGGCTGCTGCTCGTAGAGCAGGATGCTGATCACGTGGAGTAGCTGTGTTTCTCATCATGTAGCACATACTGGCTGTGTAAATTCTGTCACTTCCTTACACTGTCAGTAAAGTTTTCTGCATAAAACTTTACATTTTCCTATGAAGTTAGTGTAAGAATAGTTTGGAATGTATTTATAATGGTAGAGATGTTATAATGTGCAACTTATTAATTCTTAACAGCTTTTTTTTTTAATTTCTGCATTCAGGCTTCACATATGAAATATTCTGTGAAAACTTAGACCTTATTATATCTGTTTGATTTTTTTTTTAAAATTAAAAAAAAAGCTGCTGTTTACAAACTGATCTAACTACTGTATTATAGGTAACTTTTGAAATATTGGTATATTTTCACAGGCTGGACACAACTCTCATAGACTTTACCGACATGAAGTGCCAACGAGGGGATTTAAGCTTCATTTTTAATGGTGATGCTGCACCCTCTGAATCCTTTGTAGTTTTAGACAATGAACAAAAAGTTTACCAGCGAATACATCATGAGGTAAAGATAATCTCTGTGAATGGAGGGTGTGAAATAGCTCAAGCTTTTGCTTCACATTACAAGTCTGGTTTATTTTATTAAACAAAATGTATCTCTCAAAAAGACCCAAAGACATGAAAACCAAAGAATTTTTTGCTCAGTTGTTAGAACTTAAGCTGTATTAGTGACATAAAATTTTGTTATGAAAAACAACACTTTTGAATACAGACTTAGAAATGAGGAAAAAGCTAAAAGGTGAATCTCCTGGGAAAATCTTCTATCATTCTGAGTAGGCCAATGTGCTTTAAGTTATGACACATGCTACTTTAAACCTTACCAATGGGATTAATTTAGGTGTCCTCAGGGGGGGGTTTCAAACTTGCTGGTGCTTTGCATCCGTCCAGTTGCACTGTGGGCAGTTTAGTTATTAACAACACAAGGGTACAACCCCTTCTATTAGGCAAGATTTTATTACAGCTTTATCCACCAGTCACTTCAGCATGTGGATCCTTGCTTGTGGAAAGGCTGTGGCTGCTGAGCTTTGGATTAATCACACTTGGGTGCTTTATTTGCATTAATATTTAAGATTAAACTATTTGATAACCATTTGGCCAGAGCTTCTATAAAACAGTTTGAACATTTGTGAAATGCTAGTTCTAGGAAAAGTTCCAAAGGAAAAGATTCAAGATTTATTTGTTTGTTTGTTTTTAGAAGAAGTAATCTTAATTATTGAGTTCTATTCAGTATTTGGGAATTTTTCTTCTAGGAATCTGAGATGGAAACAGAAGAGGAGGTTGACATTTTGATGAGCAGTGATATTTACTCAGCAACGTTATCAACCAAATCCATTACCTTCACGCGTGCCCAGACGGGATGGCTGTTTCGAGAAGACAAAACAGTAAGAAAGGAAATTTCCCAGCCTGCATTGCTGGAGACAAACTAGTTCAGACAGCTTGTGATGATGTGGTGGGGAAGAAATGTGGAGTAAAACAAGTCCGTGTATGATGGACTGCCTTCCTAAGGAAAAAGTAGCCTGGAAGAAAGACAACAAACTGTAGGTATTAGGCAGGAGGGAGAAGAGATTGTACTGAAAATCAGTGTATTGTAGGAGGAGGTGATCCCTGTGGGTTCATTGCAGGGGGTGCAGGAAGGATTCTGTGCTCTCGTGTCAGGGAAATGCAGGAAGAGGGGAGTGTTCTGGGTGGTTTCCTTTGGGTGTTCCTTTCTGTGTTACCAGTCTGACTCAGGTACAAGTTCTGGGTTGTGAACAGGGCCACAGTTGTCACTTCTGTGAGTAGGAAAATTTGTGACTAGCTCGGGCCACAGTTGTCACTTCTGTGAGTAGGAAATTGCTATTTTGTGACTAGCTTTGCAGGGTTTTGTTTTCATCTGGATCTTTCAGGTAGTGCCATTCGTCACAAGTTTTTGTCTGAGCTTGTGTTGCAGAACTTTTTTCCTTTTGAATATAAAATCTCTACACGTGTCAGGTCCTGCACTTGGGTCACAACAAC